CTACTAAAGGTATTTGAAGATGAGAGTATGCCCTAAAATGTAAGGCTTGTTGTGATTGTGTTCTTTGGGATACTTGCACTTGATGTGAACCAAACTCAGCAAGATATGAGGAATCTTTGATTCTTTGAATGTGGGCTTCATCTGCTTCTCTATTCAAATTTTTTAACATTCCATTATCTAGACCAACTCTCTTCTCAATTCATCTTGAGCTTTCTAAAATTTTTTATTTTGGCTATTTTATTTTTACTCCATATGTATTAGATAAGTGGCAAGTAGAATGTTTTGAAACTTTTAATGATCAAGTTCTTGAACCATTGTTACTACAATCAAGAATTAGGATGATAGGCAGTTACAAATTTATGCAAACAAAAAAAAATTATATGAATGAATGGATAGATGCATCCATTGAATGCTATCAAATAAAAAGCTTTTAAAAATTAAAAATCATCTTGACAACAGGAATCTCCAAGTAACACTCCTAAACAATCCTAAAATCTATTGCCTTATCCTATATTTCAACTTCAGGATCATGGTACTGCTAGTGATAGGTTTTTTAACTGATATAATTAGGTAATGAACTTTCAGTAATCTTAAGCTTCCTTTCGTTTTTGAAACTTAATCGACTAGCTTTGATTAAGCCCTAGACTTTACATTTGAAAGCGAGGTAGTTTTTTGTTGAATGGCTTGTATTCTCATAATGATAATCACACCGAACATTAGCATTATAACATTTAAGATAATGAGGTTTTAGTGGCTTTAAAAAAAATGGTACAATCAGATGGTTTTTAAAAAGTTATGGGAATAGCTCAATATAAGTCATGAGGATTTGATCAATGATCGCTCTTTGTTTTTTTTTACTTAATGTTTTTTTAGGTTGAGCAGTTATTTGTCTCATCACTATGGGCCTTGAAATAGAATTAGGTGTATTTGTTGGATAGTTTATTGGGAAACTTAGCTATTGGATATACTGATAAGCACTAGGGTTTTAGGACGCACTACTTACAACTGTGATATAGTATGGGTTTGGGTTGATTTGTTGGGGTTGAATGGGAGCAGATTTTGTTTAAGCTGCCAAAAAAGATTGTTAAGGGATAACTGGATGAGGATTTAGATTTGGGTGTGAACTAATTTGTGGAGTTCGGACGAAGTTAGAAGAACTTATCTCTTCTGCTTCTTTTCTAACTTGGTCTTTTCTTAAACCATCAGATGCATTGGTAGCATCAGTATTGTGAGAAGCTTTTTGGTCTTGACCTAGTGTTTGCTTGATGCATAAACAAATTGGGTGTGATGAGGTTTCTTGAGAATGGGCTACTTCAAGCTTTCTCACCAACTAGGTAAGTCTTATTTTTATTTCTCATATGTCATGATCAAATTCCTCTTGGTTGATTCCAACGCTCGTATCTGTGCTTCTAATTGATCTCTCATTTCTTTTAAATTACTAACCCAAATAAAGCAAAAGAGTTTTGTATTATGCAATGACATGATGAATGAATGATAATGATCTATGAATGAATAAAATGCATGAAATGAATGAAAATAGATAAATAATTAAACATACAAATAAATAAATAATTGCAAACCTATTGATGTTAACATGTTCTATGCAAAAATGGAATAACAAACAAGAATATAGTTAGCATACAATATAAATAACGAAAAAGACAAAATAAGTTAGTGCACAATTTATGTAAAATAATAGGTATGTGACCTAAATTTAGGTTACTTCTACAGAAAGGAAGGACATGGCTCTATCCAAAAGCTGGACTCCTAAGGTTCACTATATGCACGGTTTAAGGTTTGATATAGGCTAAAAGGTTTTCAAATTGTTTTTCACTATCATCCACATTGGACTAGTAAGGCATTTCGATCCTCACCCATAATAGGCATCAAATGAAAAAGATTCAATTTAAGTATCAGTACTTCATTAGCCATTGTGAAAGTTAACATCTCACAAGAGCATAGGTACTCTACCCACTCCTAAGAAAGACGGAGCTCAGGTTTAAAGCTTATGTTATGATATGCACGTGAAGTGTGTGAAAGAATAGACTTTTGAACACATTTCAAATAAATAAACAAATAAGAAAATAATCAAGTAGAGAAATCAATAAAATAAATAAACAAAAAAATAGACGATTCAATGAAGACTTTAAGATCATGTAAAATTAATTTTTGGTTCGACTCTCTTAAATCCCCAACAAAATCACCAAGCTATCATAACGTAATGGTTTGGAGACTCACTCACTAGATGTAATAATCAAGTAGTTACCACCAATCTTTTTTGTTAAGATGCAATTGGTCATCAATCCTATCTTTTAATTTACGAATTTGATATTGGGTTTAAAAGTACAGTTACGTGTGAAAAAAGTTACAGCACCCCCACAATGTTCGCCTGAAAATAGTACCAATTAATCTTATGTTATCCTAAACTACTCTTGTTTAAATAGTCTTTTACTTATTACCTTATTAATTTTTTTATTTTTATTTTTATTAGTTGAATATTGAAAATTTTCTAAGTTATTTTTTACACTTTTGGTATAACTTAAAAAAAATTTTCACCTCAAAAGTATCAAAGAAATCATTTATTTTCTTAAAAAGACTTTGTCATCGAATTTATTTTAATATTTTTAAGTACATGATAATTTCTTTATACAAACGTTAATGGTATGATTTTTTTAAACAAATTAGAGAAAATCACTTGTGACTCCCTCTTAATTTCATCATGAACAAAAATTTTAATCTACTTTATAATATTTTTATTGTTTATTTTATTATTGAGGTAAAAAAAATTTTATTAGTTAAATTCCCAAAATGTTTCCAACACTTTTGGCATGTTATGAAAATATTGCTCACTTAAGAAATTTTGATAAAATCACCACTCATGAGTTTTATTTTTATAAAATTTTACTTAACTTAACAATTTAAATATTTTATATTTTATTATTTTTTATTAAAAAGATTTTCAAAAATCTTACCAACATTTTTGGTAAAATTTTGAAAATTACTTTCTTAATAATCACCACTTTTGATTTTGTTATTATTTTTTTTATGTCTTTATTTAATTCTTGATTTTTATTCAAAGTGAAAAAAAATTTTAAAATATTTCCAATACTTTTATGTTTTAAAAAATTTCTTTGTATACATATTTTTAATAAAATCACCACTTGTAATTTTTTTTTTATTAATAATATTTTTTTTATGTTTGAAAAACTTCTAAAATATTTTTAACACTTTTAAAATATTCTAAAAAAATTTTTTGTGTAAATATTTTTAATAAAATCACTACTTGTGATTTTATAGTTATTTTATCATATTTTATTTATTTTTACTATTTATTTTTATTCATTCATTATTCTAAATTTTATATTTATTATTTTATTTTTTATTATTATTGTATTTATTTTAACATGTCGTATATTGTAAAATGAAATACTAAAAATAACACAAAAAAATAAAAAAAATCGAATAAATTAAAAAAGAGAAAAAAATACTAATTTTTGTCGATCAACATTAGAGTCAACGTCAACTGTCCAATCCAAGTCTAGTGCGGCTTGAGGTGATTCTGGACCAGTTCAACTAAACCAATCAGTGGCTGAGGGAGAAATGAGTCATGGGTCGGATGCGTGGATCCCAAGTCAAAATCAAGTCCATACACAGATCCTTTTTGCTTAAAATGGCATTGTTTCATCTTTTTTTTCAGCATTATCAAAAGGTAATTTTTTCATTTTATTTTTATTCAGACCTTTTCTCTCTCTAAAAGAGAGAGCTCCTCTCTTTTAAAATAAACCAACCCACTAGAAAACCTAATAATCCCATAATCTGGCAACTGATAGCTGCACCGCCCACTGGTCATCGAAGCCTAAAAATACGTAAATTTTTCTAAAAAAATTTTCTCATTATCTTCTTTCTTGTTTTCTACTTGGTTTTATCAAATGACCCTTGATTCGTCTTAGATCTATACCGAAACTTATGGCTGAAAATCTTAAATTTTTCACCTCCACCACACCGTTCACTTTTCTTTCCAACTATATTCTTTTCTTTGTCCTAACCACTTTTCTCACAAAAAAAAAAAAAAACTAGGCCTAAAACTCCTCAATAACCAAAATATTTTTCCCTTTTTTATTTTATTTTTTTTATTTTTTTGGCTTTTTGAAACTGTGTTCCCATTCCCAAAGGCTATGGCTTTTTTTTATTGTTGTGTATTTGGGTTTTTTTTTGTGTTTTTGCAAGCTTTTTTTTTATCTGGTAGAATGGACTTTATTGGCTAAAGTCATTGGTGGGTGGTCTTGGTTTTGGTTTGTTTGGATGATAGTGATTGAGGCATCAGAATGGTGAGGGGCGTGTATAATGCTGGGCAAAAAAGAGGTTTAGTGAGGTTTGGTTTGGAACTAGTTAGTGGTGCTTAGCAATGGTATTGGCCACAGGTGGTCTGGTGGGAGTTTATGCATAGCAGGATTGATTAGAGGGCTATCTTAGCATTGGGCAAGTGCTGGCTAAAAGTAGTATTGGTTCTGGTAGTGTGGTGGCCAAAAGTGTCATTTTTTTTGGCTACTTGTTAGTTGTTTTAATTAGGGTAGGCTTTGGTTTACAGAGGATTAAGTTTTGTGATTTTTATAAGATTTTTTTCGAATTGCCCCCTCTTTGTAGTGATTTTTTTAGGCTCAATTTAAATAGTTAATCTAGGATGAAATCATAGATTTCTTGGGATTTGGAGAAGACTTTAGGGTTGATTTTTATGCTACCAAGTTAGATAGTGACAAGGTGGGTAATTAGAAAAAATTCAATAACCGAGTTTAAGCAATTTGGCTAATTAAAGTTTTTTTTTCAAAGTTTTCTTGTTTTTTTTTATTTTTTAACTTTTTTTCTTTGACTTTTTTTTCTAAACTAATTAATGAAATAATAATGTATAAAATAATTATACTTAATAAACAAAAAATGATCAAAATATTAGAATAGGTTTAAATCGAACATACAAATGCAATTTAAATCCATTTGATCAATTCGAATAAAATTAGGTGTCTACAATGTATAAACTGTCTAGCAAGGTAACTGACAAAAAAAAAAACTATTTGATAAAGAAACTAAAGTTAAAGTTCCATTGCAAGTAATACATTTTGATATTTATTTCCCAATGTATGTAAGAACACGCAATTGAGGTTAATATTTCATCATATTTATTAATGATAACACATATTTCAGTTTTTGTCTATTTGATTCTTCACAAGTCTAAAGCTTTAAAATGCTTTAGAAAGTATTTATACTTTGTGAAAATCAATTAGATAAAAATGTTAAGGCGTTGAGAATTGATTGTAGATGTGAGTACTTGTCTAATTAGTTCAAATAGGTATATGATGAAAATGGTATTAATAGGCAATTAATCATTCCAACGACTCTACAACAAAATGGTGATGTAGAGAAAGGAAACAAAACTCTTCTGAAAATGGTTAGGTCAATATTGGCAAAAGTGAGTTTGTAAATCATTTTTGGTGTGAAATATTATTATTAACTATTTATATATTCAATAGAATATCTTCCAAGCCAATTACAACCATTGCCTATGAATTATGGATTTGTAGAAAACCTAATCTTAGTAACTTGAGAACTTAAGGTTGTACTGTTTATGTTATTGAGTTTACTAATTAACATGACAAGTTAGGTCTATAATGCAAAAAGATTATATTTGTAAGATACTCTAAAAATTTCAAAAGGATGTGTTCATAAGTGAACAATTAAATGAAAGCGTAACTGAATTTTAAAACTCGGAATGCCATTTTTCAAGAAAATAAGTTTTCAAAATAAAGGTGAGATGAGTCAGAAAATGTCTCTTTATGAGATTAAGGATGCAAATGATTTGGTAAGTTGCAAATCAATTAATGTATATTCCCAATCAATAACCAACAATATCTCATCCAAGCGGAAGCATGACTAAAGTTGATGAATTTGTTTCACAAGAATCACAAGTTAAGCAAAAGAAAAGTGGATAAAAGCCATGAAAAAAGAAAATTGAAGTTTAAAATCAAACAACATATGAAAATTGATTTCTTATCCAAAAGACGCAATTCTAGCCACTGTAGCCTGTTTAGATTTGGAATTACATCTAATGGATGTGACAAGTATCTTTCTAAATGAAAAACTAGAAAAAAATATATATATGAAATGGCTTATAGGTTTTATTAACAGAAGTTAACAGCATAAAAGTGTGCAAATGATTAAGGTCATTTTATGGTCTTAAAGAATCTTTTAGGCAATGATACATTAGTATTCATCAAGCAATAATTTCTTATGATTTTATTCTGATTGATGAAAATCACTGCGCGTATGTCAAAAAAGTAATAAATAAGCTTGTGATCTTGTAACTCTATATGGATGACATACTATTGGTTAAAAATAATAAGGAGTATTCCATTATAACGAAAATTGGTTGTCTTCAAATTTAAAATAAAAGACATATGTGAAACAGCTTACATACTTGGTTTAAAAATCAATAGAGATTGTTTCAAGAAATTGTTCTTTTTCACATGAGTAATATATTAAGCAAATTCTTGAACGATTTAGTATGCAATACTGCAAACCAATTGACACTCCTATGGCAAAAAATGAAGGCATGAGTCAAAGAACATGTCATGGGACTCCACAAGGTAAAGGAATAAATGAAAAAAGCTCTTTACTCTAGTGCTATTGAAAACCTTATGTATGCTATGATGTACATAAGATCGAACATTTGCTATGCCATAAGCATGGTAAGCAAATATCAATCCAATCTAGATTGATCCCATTCAAAAGCCATGATAAAGGTATCAAGGTGTCATAAAGACTGTTGATTATTTGTTGTGCTATTAAGAAAGTTGTCTGCATTTAATTAGCTATATGGATGCTAATTGAAAAGAAGATTTAAATAAAAAAAAATCTATCTCTCGCTATGTTTCTTATTGAATATTGGGCTATATTTTGGATTTGTAAGAAAAAAACTTGAATACCACTATCCACAATGAAAGCTAAACTTATAACATTTTCAGTGCCAGTGCAAGAAGTTGTTTAGCTTATGAAATTTTTTTAATCTTTTGGGAATTGAGAAAGATGAGTCTAACTCAATGTTAGTGAATTGCAATAATTAAGTAACAATCACATTCTCAAACAAATTCCAAAAACCAAATACAAAAATACTAAATATAATTTTATAAAAGATATGGTGGTACAAAAAAAGTCAACAAATACATTTCTACGTATGAGATAATTACTAATCCATTAACTAAGCTCATGCCCAAAAATAAGTTTCATAGCCACATGAAATCTCTAAAGTTGTGTAGATAAAGATGTATCGATTAAGATGTTCCATGTGAACAATCTATGATTTTTTTCATTTGAGTTAAATTATATTGAATGAGATTAATGTTGTTAAAGTTTATACTTTATTTTGTGAAACGTGCACACATGTATATGAATATATACATAAAAGATATGATTTGAAAGGTATGTCTGACAGAGGATTGACCTTTACACACAAGTAATCGCCTTAATGGTTTGGCACCATGTAAATGATATTAGTTTTAAACTATGGCCCCAAGCTTAAAATGAAATCCCCTTGATAAGGGATCAAGATGAGGTCACTTGATATTGAGCTTTGTGACTGAAAATGAATAATCCCACAAGTTACTTTGTCTGTCTTAAATGCTAAATGAAAGTCTTATTGATTATGTGGAATCGAGTTATGGATTAAAGTTAGATACTAGGAGTATCTAAACTATCACATATACGTATGATATTAATATCAACTGATAAAGACAAATGCTCCATGAAAAAATGAGTAATATTGTAGCATGTGTGTCATACCACATGTCCATTTGTTCGAACAAGACAATAGAAGAATAAATTTTTACTTCTTATTGTGTGAGACCTTTAAAATCAAAAGATCTCATATTTAGCATCCTTAAAGACTTTCGACCGTTTCTTAAAGTTTCAGCTCAATGTTAGCTATCTTAGATTGTTGCCAATGGTCATAGATGATTTGATTTAATGGGACATATTTGGATAGCAATTGAATTGAAATGAAAAAATTCTAGAAGAAAGAAAAATCATTCTAGTGTCAATGGCTGCAATCACAAGCCGACTAATTATGTTTGAAAAGTAGAACATAATTGTGAATACACAAATACATCAAGCAATATGATAAAATAGAGATCGTGAGAAACTTGAAATATAACTGAATGGATCTAGAATGCTACATACTTATTCTAGTTGTATTTGAGAGTTACTATATATATCTAATAGTTATATAAGTGACTAAATATGATTTTGAGGTCTTATATGCACCTAACAGTCGTATAGCAACTAAGCTTTCAAAGTATGCTAATTGCATAACTTATTTTCTTATATGAACCTGTTATAAAGAGTAAAGAAACGTTTTCATGATCGTGAGAGTTTGCCACCCATTCTGTGTGAGCAAGAGATATTGGAATAAATCACCCATTCATGGGTTAGATAAACCTCCAATAAAATGGTGTTATTCAATTAAACAAAAAAAAAAAATACCACCTATTCTCTCCTTCATGAATCATGGCATTCAGCCATAAAAAATGAAATATGACGAAAGAATATTTATCCACAATATGAGAAAGGTCTCATTCATATGTAAGACTATATGATAAGTCACAAAAAAATAAAAAAAAAAGGGAAATTGGTAAAGTAAAGGAATAAGGCATTCCTCACGAACATTCTGAGAAATCTCATACTTCAGTGATTAAAAACCTACACTATGGATAGTGGACAATTACTGAATGCATGATCTTGTCAATGACCAATGAATCAAGTCAACATCACTTTTACAACACTTTTGCAAATATTCTTCCACCGTGCCTCTACAAATTATGTTTTCTACATTATTTTTTATATATGATCTTGTTCATATTATTATATTATCCTTTGGTTTGAATAACTTTGCATACATTGTTATACAAACAATTCCTTTAATAGTGGGATGTAGGATCATTTCTTTAATAGTTTTCAAGCTAAAAATTTTGTATGTAGAAACAATGATCGAGTAAAATTAAATTTTAGATTTTCTGCTAATGCATTTAAAAAGTAAGGCCAACTATTTTGTTGTTACAAAGTGGTTATCTGAAGGTCAGTTTATCCATTTACCATCAAATCTTCTATGAACCTTGACAAACCAATGTATGCAACAGAATGCAACCCAAAACACATTCCAACTACCATTCTTTTTTTTTTTTTCTGTACATAGTATCACCAAAAAAAAAACAATGGAACGGAAACAACCATTGAAAAAGACTTTCCACCCTTAACACATTAAGAGAGTTAGAACTATTTGCACATGCTTTTATGTATTTACAAAGCTTCTAAGAGGGAGGCAACAAAAAACAGAACACTATACCAAAAGGAAACAAATAAAAAAAGAATATCAGCACGATGGTAGCAGCAAACATCTCTAAGATGATAATATTTGATGTGCTTCATAAGCTTGTTGGGTAAATATGTTTTTTTTTTTTTTTACATGTGCTCAAGACGTAGGTGGCTATTGTCTTAGGAAGCTCCATCAAGTTGTTCCAACTTTCAACCTGGGCTATGCCAGTAATAAAACATGAGAGAACGCATGATAACCCAACATTAATTTGGTCAAAGGCTATTTTTTAAGAGGAAAGGTAGGTTGCTATAAGTTTAGTTGTAATTAAAGGATAAGCCTACAAAAGCTCTAAATAAAGTTAAGTTTTATAGTTAATGGCAATAGCATATGAAATTCTATTCTGAAGCAACTTCAGACGAAAGCCGAAAGGATGTGCAAAAGAGTAACATTGCAACTTATGAATGAAATCATATTAAAAGGTCACATGGATTTTTTTTTCCTCAAAACAGTAATAAAGTTGATAATACATGATAAATTGTATCTAAGGAGATATAAATATTAATTTGTACCTTACTTGGAAGAACCTACAAGAAATTCTTCATATTCATCTTATGAAACACTGTGTGCAGTGCTCTAAGCTGTTTGGCATTCATCTCTGTGGCCTAAAACAACTTTTACAGGAGTTACTGGTATGTCTTCAATACCAGACATGAAAGATTCATCCCGCACTGGCGCATCAAGCTTCACAATCATTGATGAGCTATTTAATTAGGGATCGGAGATAATAAGTAAAATCTGTATGAAGTATTTAACTGGTGACAGCAATAATAATAGGAAAAGCAGGCAGACAAAAAACCAATTCTAAGTGATAACAGAATCTTACAAATCATAAGATATCGCAATAAAGGAGGAGCAAAAAATTTGAAGTTAAACAAGCAAAGAAAAGAAAATGAAAGAACATGAAAATGTAAATGGAATGTTGGTGGTCATATCAGTTGTTGCAAACCTAATTGCAATTTCGGTTGCAGCAGTTTTAAATCTTTTTGTTGTAGATTTATCTAGAAAATGTTAGCTCGTTGTTTGTCTGCCAGTTATAGATGTGGGCAGCGACTGTGGTGTTTGATTGGCAGAAATAATAACTTTTGGTTGACAGAGTTGCTGAGGGGTTGTCAAAGTTGTGGTTGTAGGTGGGCTGACTATAACTTTGGACGATTCCCATGAACTCATTTGTGGTATAGCCATTGAAGGAGTTTGGAGATTGGGAGCAGAGATTTCGAGACTTTGGTGCAACAAGTTATAAATGTCTTCTTAGACCGTTTGTATCATCACTCTTGGAGTTTTTATCAGGGTCGTGGCTCCAAAGAATTTCATGCTTTTTTTCCTTTGCTCAACTAACACGATCTATGACTAAAAGCTACTGCTTAACAGACCAATCGTCCAAGCAATAAAACACAAAGCAAAAAATAGAAGAAAAACAACACAATAACTTATAAGGAAAAATGCGAGAGATCAAGAAACCAAAAAAGCAAAAAAAAAAAAAAAAGTGATACACAGTCAAGAACAATTGAGCCAAGATGATCAATAACATGCTGAGTGTAATACAATAATTACCGTTATTGCTTTTGGGTCTCAAAAGACAAAGCAAAAGCAAATAAAAAAACCAACAATAATGAAAGAACAAAACCTTAACCTGAATTCATCTCAAACTTAATGAGCCAAAAACCTTCAACAGTGCCTGCAAAAAAAATAGAATAATAATTAAAAACCCTTTTTGAGCAACACGCAAAACAGACAAAAAATCCATTCAAACTCTTTTCCATCAATGATAGAAAGTATAAACTGATTGAGCCTGGTAAAAGAAACACAAAATGATAAGAAACTTGGAATGTTAACAATCAATCTAACACAAAAAAGGACTCAAAACCAACTATAAAAAAAATACTAATATAAATTAATTTCAAACTGCAATTAACCACCTTGCAAACCTGAAAAAAAGGTAATTCAAAAAATAAGAAAAACATACATTATAAAAATCAGGTTGGGATTATCCTCGCTATAGAGAGAAACAAAGCTGTTCCCCCATTCCAAAGTTGTGATGCTTCTATGCAGACAATTCTGCATGTCCCAAAGCACTTCTCCCAAGATTAATTGAAAAGAAGAAAAGCAATTAGAGCTCAATCTCATCTCTTAAAGCAGTTTTGTGCTAAAAAATTTATATATTATTAAAATTTGACATACCGTCGTGTTTCATAAGCCTCATTCTTGTATCTCTTAGCCAGAATTTTTTGTTGTTATATCCGATCATGCTTCCTTCTTCTCTTTCCACTTCTTTTTCTCCGCTCCCTTTCTCTCTTTTAATTTTTTTCGATTATGAGGTCCATAAGTTTCTACTTTGTTTTTCAATCCTTCTCTTCCCTTTTCTGTTTTCATTTTTTTTTTTTAATCCTTTTAAATCTAGAAGCCTCTCCTCTTACAGCATCCAGAAGTTTCTCCTTCTGTCCACCGACTGTAAAACAATTTTTGCCCAAATTTACCCTTTAATTTTTTTAATACATTACTAACATGTACAAACAAATGCAGTCCCTTGTAGTCCAGGGACTACTTAGTTTCTTTTTTTTTTTTTTCTTATCTTTTGCTTTCTATTCGTTTTTTGCAAGAAAATTAAAAAAAAAAAAAAAAAAAAAAACAAATAACAAAAGCATCAATTAAAGCGAGACCAATATGAACAAAGTTTACCTTAATTTCAACCATTGAACAACTAAAACACCTCTCTTTTTATATTGAATCACGACAACTGAAATCCCATAACAATAGAAACACTAATAATTCTTAAGGCCTTTTTTAGATTCAACAAGCATTTCAGAATTCTAATAAGCTATGGTTTTTTCGAACCCTCACCGGCATATGCTCGGATGGTTTCCACCCTCGCCACCTCCTTGGTCAATGCCGGCAGCTTCTCCCCAATCCTTCTCCATCTATAACACAGTAATTTCCACAAAGTAACAAATAAAATCAACGCTCTCCATGCAAAAATTCAAAAAAAATGCCTCAACTTTCCAACAAAAATAGAAAAAATTTAATATCAAAATCAAAACTTTTACATTGATTAGAACTTGAAACGGAGCTTCGAGAACAAAAGAAGGATCCTAGATCGATAAATTTTGAATTTACATTGCCAAAAAGGTCAACAATGCGATCGAAGAAGCAAGTGCGAGGCTTAATTCGAGGGTGCAATTGAGGTGGATTAGGTTTCACTCTAAATCCTCGCAGAGTCAGAAACTCAGAGACCATACTCAGTTCTTGAGTAAGGTCATGGTCGGAGTCGAGTTTAGTGTTAAGGACAGAGGAGGCTGAGGAGGGGAGTCAAGAGTAGAGGGAAACTTTGCAGAGAGTCCATATGGGTCGGGTTTTCGAGTCAAGCCATGGAAGATTAGGGCGACGAGGCAAATTTTATAGGGAAATGAGGGTATATTTGGATTTTGAAGTTACAGATTGGATCGGGTGCCTGAGAAGTGGATCATGACCGGCTGATTCGATGCTAGCTTCCATGGAGGAGATACTGTAGAAAAAATTAGAACTCGATCTCGTCTCTTAAAGCAGTTTTGTGCCAAGCATCCAAAAATTTCTTCATCTGTCCATACCGACTGTAAAACAAATTTTGCCTAAATTTACCCTTTAAATTTTTGTTAATACATTGCCCTAATTGCAATTTCATGTTGTAATCGGGGAATGTTTTAATATATTAGCATAGATTATTGTCAATGTTGTATATATAGGCATTAATCTTTTACTTTGTGGTATAATTTCTATATAAAGGCTCTCGAATTTTAACTTTCAATTATGTACCCCAATTTGTGTGCGTGTGAAATTAACTTTAAGATTACTACGATATAAAATGGGCATCTGGAATCAAATTAACTTCACAACAATTTCTAGGTTAGTTTGTTCACACATATTAAACTAAAAGAAAAAAAAAAGATACGATTCATTTGCAAACAAGAAATATCGACAGCATAGGAGTATTGATTTTGTCATTGATGCATGATATACCTGTTTAATAGGATTATTTGTCTAAATTCAAAGATTTATCTAATATTTAAATAGTCCAAAAATTCAAATTTTGGTACAAAGATAAAAGGAAAAGCAATTCATAATTTGAATAAATCATACAATCTTCAATTTTCTACTACTTGAATTAAGTTTTCTAATTAGTTAAGGCCTAAAATTTCTCCCGTAAGCTCATCTTTACATCAGGAAGTATAAAATGATGAGTAATGCAAAATCTTGTAAGAAATTTTCTTTGGCCTACCCACACTTAATTTGTTCGGTTTACATCAAGGATGATCACAAATTAAACAATAATTAAATTGGCATTCTCTTTATAAAACAACATGTAATTGTTCTCATATACATATATTTTGACTAAACCAAAGTCAAATTTTGCCATCTTCGTCTTATGGAAGCTTATCCTTTATCATCACAATGAGATAATCAAAACATGCTTTACTTATGTTAAACTATAACTTACAATTTAAATGTTGAGATACAACAAATAATGTCATATGCTTTGTGCAACCTGACTACAATGACTCATCTACACCATTCATCAAAGAATAAAAGTTTGGTGTCCCCTTATTTGTTATTTCTCATCATTTCTTGACTCGTTACCAAAATTAACATTTGAACCAAAATTTAGATCTAAAGAATTCATAACCATTTTTGCATAAGGATTTTTTATTTCTACTTTACACATTGGATCAAATTCAAGATCTCTACTTTTTTATGATTCCGCTTGTTCAACTTTTTCGTGAAGATACCAATTCATGTAACCAATGAAAAAACTTTTATAATAAAGGTTTTTATGCACTTCAACTGCATGAAAATCATTTATTCTAACATTTGTTGTAAGGACACTTAATTTTATCCCCACTAACAAAATTTGTTTAAGAAAATGCAAAATTTATAAACTTCTCAACTCTTTTCAAGAATTCATTGATAATAAACCTATTTGCATCTAAGATTTATCTCTATCCATTTTTCAAACCTAAGTGGCAAAAAGTTCATAAGCACAAAATTATATATATGTCATAATCAAACATTAATTCTCAAAATTTCACAAAAATTCACAATTTTACAATTTTTACAATAATTTCATTATTTCACAATTACATAATTTTCACAAAAATTCACAATTTCACAGTTTTCACGATAATTAAATAAATTTTGGTACAACATAATTTTCACAAAATTTTTAAATTCCACAAAAATACACAATTTTCTCAATAATTTTACACAAATTCCACTTCAATTCAACAAATTCCAAATAAACTTCATATTTTCAAAAATATTTCTACACAAATAACACTTAATTCAACATCAATTTTAATAATTCAATACTAATTTCATAATTATCACAAATTATTAAAAAAATTACCCTAATTATTCATTAATTTAAACAAATTAAAATTTAGCAGTAAAAGAAATTACCAAAGTATTGTTTAATAATGAAAATCGTGTTAAAGCTTATAACCCAAAAAATAATAATTAAATAAAATTATTAATTCAAAAGATAGAAAAAGAAAAAAGAGACTTTACAAAGAAATAATTAAGGCTAAGGAGTTGGGGAAAGATAGAGGTTCAACTTACCTCTGAAAGTAATAGCAAACTGTTAGCCATTTATTAAAAAACAAACGGAAACGAAGGTGATATGAGAGGGTTCGATTTGGGGTTGTTTTGGGGGTAAAATGGCCAAAAGTGGTGCGGATTCGATGAAGCAGAGGTTGGCGGACTTCTAATGGTTAGACGACGTTTGAAGTGACTGAAGGTCGACTGGTTTAAGTAAAATGGGTGAAAGGTAGGTGGGTCGCAAAAGAAGAGGAAGGAAAAGAAAAGGATATTTGAGGGGAGAGAGAAAGACTTTTATCGATGAAATTAGAGACAGAGTTCCATCATTATTTCCCATTCCAAATTTTTTACGATTGAAAAATTTTGTAGCTATTAATTTCGTTGCTATTTTCTAAAAATTTTAAATTAAAATTTGAATTTTATTAATTATAAAATATTTGTACTAAAATTATTTTTTTTTTGAAAAAAAAAGTTTAGAATTACGGTTAAAGATAATAAGAAAAATTAAAAGTGATTTTTTTTTCTTTTCAAATTAGATATTATTATGAAACAATTAAAGATATGCAAGCAATTTTTTATAGAAAAATTAGATACAAAGTGGGTTATTATAATTATGTTTTCAATGTCATCAATTCTGTTTCATTCATAATAAGTATGCTTCCTTATATTTTGTGCTTATAACAAGAAGATTAAAATGTGTCACAGTCCCTTCATTCTTTGATTTTTAGGAATTTAATTTCTATAGTACTATTTAAAAGAACTTAATTTTTATAATATTATTTTTAAGAAATTTAATTTTTATAGTATTATTTTTAAAAAAAAAACATCGATTATTTACACTTTATAGGCTGATTTACATTCTGAATTGCTAATTATAAAGGAGGAGCCAACGCCTGGATTACTAGAATTACATCTTGAACTAGCCCACTAAAGCTACATAAAAATTTAGAATCTATAGTATATTATTTTGGTTTTGGGTTGGCTGTTGGCTGTTGGCTATTCACAAACACGTGACATGTGAAACATACTAGAACCTAAAATCTTCCAACACCTCAGTCATTAACATTTCCTTTTTATTATTCTAACCCCCCCAAAAAAAAAAAATCCTTTCTATCAATTAAGTAACCTTATTTTCTTATTCTCCCCTTTTACCTTCACCAAAATATGATTAACCTAAATTTTTACTTGAAACAAAAAAAAAAAAAGAATATTAAGGTAATTTAAAAAAAGTATTTTATGAAACCTATAATGTTACGTTAAGAAAAATATATATAACTAATAAAATTTAGGAAAATTAAAGATTCAGTTTAATGATAATAATCTTTTTCTTAAAAGGAATAAGATCCTGTTTGCAAAAATTTTACTTACGGTTGATAAAATAATTAATGCAATTCGGTGAAATTGAAACTTACACTTGTATTGAGAATGAAGATAATTATTTTATTCTTAGCTAATTACATAACATAGTAATAATTTTTTTTTTATAAAATATAACATATCAATAATTGAGTAAAAGGGAAAGTGGGGGAAATGGCCAAATACGGTGGCATTTGATTGGACATAGGAATTGGAACAAATGTGGTGTTGGTATATTACCAACATAGATGCTAGATATTATTCGAATCAAGCATCAAATCGTTGTTACCTATAGAAGCAGGAGGGTAAAATTAGACCCAGATGGTATAGGCCAGATGGAGCCCATATCTTCTGAAAAAGAAAAATACAACACTTTCAGCCCATCGAATTTTAAAACTTAGCTGATCCATCGACCCATCCCGCATATTAGTCGAGGAAGCATCTTCCACCAGTAACCTCTTCTTTGAATTCCTTCCTTTTTTTATTTGAATTTAGTCACGAGTCTCATGATTTCATTATGTTTATATTTTACCTATGAAGCAAGGACTCATCTATCTATCCAATATATAAAATTAATATTATAAAATAAAAATAATAATTTTATCAATTAATGTATACTATTAAAAAAAATTATAAATTACTTCATGCAATCATTTTTAAAATTAATATTGAATAAGCCTCAAGTTAAAATTCTAATTTCAACAAATTTTTTTATTTTTAGGTTGTAATTTAAAAAAAAAAAAATTAAAATTATTGTAGCAAAGAAAAAGAATAGTGCACTAGTTTACCAGAAAGATGTTAACTAAAAAATCATTAATTTTGTTTAAAAAGAAAAAAGAAAAGAAAAAATCATCAATCTTAAATATATATCAACAAATGAATAAAATAGTATTAGAAAGGCATAAAGTCCCAATAACCTTTGAACTATAATGAAATGTTTAATTTAATAAATAATTTTTAAAAATTTTAATCTGATTTTTGAATTATAAATAAATTTTAAAAATTTCTAATCTCATATTTGAACTACAAATACGTTGATTAATATGATATTTCAAAAATTCGTTGTCAATTATGTATCATCATTTAAAACTAATGACATTATAAGTGCATATCATATTAATTAACAAACTTATAATTTAGATATCATATTAAAAATTTTTAAAATTTACATATTATATGAAATATTTTAATATATTTTAAAAAGACATTAAACCTAATAAAAATATATTTATATTTGATACAATGTCAATGTATAAAATTTATACATTATCAGTGAATAAAATAATAGCATTTCATTGATAAAATAAATCAAATGATGTCATCTTATTAATAAATTTTTTTAAAAAATATTAATTTTTACATATTTATTTTAAAAATTGATATTTGTTTGTTAATAAAATAATATTATTTAATTAATTGACAAAATATAATGAATCAAATATAAACTCAAAATAAAAATGATGAGAAAGCCCAGGCAATAAATGTCAAAGGAGTGTGGTCGGAGACTTCAGACTCTGACTCAGTTAAGTCAGGGTTCCTGCTATGGTCCAATAAAGTTAAATGAACGTTGTTGTATGCTGGAAATATAACATTAGAAACTCAGGTACTCAAAGAAAGCAGTCCAGTATTAAGCCCAACGGAAACTCTCGTACTCGTCAAAATGCCTTTTTATAGCAGAAACTAGAAAGGAACTGTGAAATATTGACAGTCCAGATGTAAATGTTTGCCAAATGCATGGCCTTGGCCTCCTTTATTCCAAAGCCTCCCAAGCCTGATACGTGGGTCTCCTCAGAACCAGCTTTATCTGGCCGGCTATAAAATTTGCTTGAATTGCACTCAAATATTTAACTCAATTAGATGATGCATGATTGCCTAATCTAGAAAATCAAAGAGCAAAGATTCAAATCTCGCTTCCTCCAAATTAAAAAAAAAAAAAGATGCTTGATTTGGGGCCTATGCCATGTAGCAGTTCGATCTACCAAAACAGTTTAAGACCATATCTCAGTGAATCCTTTTTCTTCCTAGATGAAAAATGCATCGCATAAGAATATGAAAATTTATATGCAAATGCAATAAACTAATAATGACAAAGCTGAAAAGAGATAAACAAAGACCCTATAGACAGGCGGGGTCTCTATTGCAAAAATATCAGTAATGCAGGGAAGGATTCTGTGGAAAACACCGTATATGCAAAACCTTGCTCTAGTATTGCTGTTAATAATTACTAATGAATTTATAAGGAAAACCTACAATCTCGTGTAACAAGTTAAACGGCTGCATCTCTACATCATAAATTGATCTACGACTTGCTTTCATTATAATCATTTCTTCTTCAAGCTTGATTATCCAAGGAACTTGTCTGCTAGATTAAGCTGGTTCTTGAAACAGCCCAAGTTCCATTCAAGTTAAGCTGAAGATCTGATACACAAACAAAAAAGAAGTTCAAACAATTGATTTGGTGAAACAAACATTTTTTTCTCTTTTGCAAGAAGATGAAAATGGTGAATTTCACTCATCAGGCATTAGAAGATATGATTGAAAGTAACATTAGGTCAACTACTTCAATTGTGCAATGAAAGACTTCAGTGACTTAATGCATTATCAAGATCTTGTCCTAGTACACCCATTTTTATCTTTCTTTACAGCTTCCTTAACTCGTCACTCTCCATATATTAAGGCTAGACTTTGTTTGATTTGTTCCTTTACTTTTTGTTTTTTCAATACAAAGGGAAATGCAAAAAATAAAAATGAACTGAAAATAAGATACAAAAAGCAAAAAAACCAATCAAATGGAGTTTAAATAAGCTAAAACATCAACAAAACAACTAGTAGGAAACACTGCTGCATGATTATAACATTGCACTTCTAGAGTAAACTATAAGCATTTAGGAACATTAACTCAATTTTGCCAAACCAAACCTGCAACATTAATAACAGTAATCATATTTAGTTAGTTTAATCTTTAATGAATTGTATGTTAAGTTTTTCTTTTTTCTATCAGGGTTTTCTTTTCTAAGAGAATTAATTACCGGGTTAAAGAATGATAGACAGAGAGTTGTATTTTAGGGTTCCACAAGGTTAGTCGAGATGCACTGCAAGCATGAGAAAAGAACAGCTAAAATCTTGGATTAGGACCTTAATACATTATGTAAGGGCATGAGTTTCTGGTGGGGGTTGAGGTTCTTAGTGTTGGGTTTCAAACTTTCAACGTTTGGTGCCCTTATAACTTTGCAAATGTTCTATGGTCTTAATAGGTTTTTCTATTTTGTGGATGTAAGCTAGTTTGCAAAACCACATCAATGTCTATCTACAATAGGCACTTCAAAACTAAAGCATGTAATTTTTTTTTTTTTGAAGAATAAAGCACGTAAACTAAAGTAAAAATGATCTTGGCATTATTTATAGACAGTAACTATTTTAATCTGAGAAGGTGATCAACAAGATATTGGGAATAACATTTAAACTAAAGCTGTACTGGATTAGCGCTTTTGTTGTTTTGCCTTCTACTCTCACAATCAGAAAAGCAAAAACAACACGCATTTGGACACAAGCAAAATTTTTTCTTTAAAACATCAAACACAAAATATGTAATTTTTCAAATAACAAAATGCATAATTATATTTTTATACATGCTAATTATGTTATGATTAAAATTACATTTCCTTTTTTCATTCCATATCAATTATGATGTTACTTTTTAACTTTTGATTTTGCTTTACAGCAATTAATGGTAATTGTGTTTACACCCCACATTTTCTTCTTTACACCCCATTTCTCTCTACACCCAACATTAAAAACCCTAAACCCAATTTTTACTCAATACACCTATACCCCTAATTACAAACTTCACTAAACACCCCTCACCTTTCACCACACTCATTTTACTGTCTTACACCTGTTATTCCTAATTCTCAGATCCTAAAAATCAACTCTTAAATCACTAACTTTTGGAGATAATCAAAGTCACCAAGCTTCAATTTTGATATGATAAATCTTTGATTTTGTTTGATCTTGATTAAATTTTTAGATTTTGTTATGTTTTGATTAAAATATTTTTGTCACTTCAATTCTGGATTCACATTTTCAAAAGCTTTTAAAAGCTTTCGAATTTGAATTTTCGGAATGTTCAAATTTCTAGTTGAAATTGATGTTTAAATGATTCACCTTATCATTTATTTGACAGTCGTCGTCCTCACCAATGTTTTTTTCAATCTGACCTTTCATTTTGACAATGTATAAGACAAGAATAGTACTTTTAAAGATTTAGGGTTTATGATAAAAAAAACTTGAGAGAACAGGGTATATGGAGAGCTAAAAAGTAATTTAATAAAAGGTATTTATTTAAGTAATTTTATTTTAAGGTCAATTTTATAATAAAAGTTTTTGGGTGCGGAAAGGAATTATTGGGGGTGTATTTAGAAGCTTTCTTTTCAAAACACAAAATGCAAATAATAGAAAACAAGTAACAAAGCACCAACTAAAGGGAGACCAAAATGTTGTTACAACTAGGGAAAGTTTTTTTCCATTAGTATGTAGGCTTAAAGCATTTTCAGGGAAAAAACGAAAGCAAATAAAGAGCAACACCTGTTGCCACTTTAAAATAGCTCACTCATGTACATGAAGCATTCTAAACAGTCATGAACCATAGAGCAATTATTGACCCACTAAAGAAGTATGATTATAATAAAATAAGTGCAAGACAACTTACAGTGAAATTCCATTACCTGCGGCTAAGGTTCGTAGGTGCTATATATCAAACCACTAGCATTGCCAACCTGAACCCTCTCAGCATTTTGAATGGTATTCTTTGATATTCTATTTGAGAAGAACCCTGAATTCTCTCTTATGTCACTGCAGGCATCTGCCACTGGGTTCATAACAAATCCACCCCAACCTCGACGCTGATATCTTTGGCTGACTGCTGGCTTATACGTTTCAGCACCTGAATCTTTATCAGGTGTGTTATGTACTGCATTTAGGGAAAGCATGCGCCCAGAAGAAGATAACCTTGAAGTAGAAAACCGACCTTCAGTTTTCCTCCAGAACTTGGGACTCAAAAATTCAGTACCAGGCAGCTTGCAACATGTATTATCTGGAGAATCTGTCTTTGGAATCCTTCCACTTGAAACAGCCAAATCATAAGATATTTCATCCAGAGCCATCTCCAGGCCATTTACACGGGTCTCCAGAGAATTGATCCCACTTTGGGAGCTCCCAATGAATTTCTATAATCAAATAAAGCACAACAATTATAAATGTGTCAGTACTTAAATTAAAATGATCTAACGTTAACAGAGTATGATACATGCAAGTATAAACAAACACATGCAACACATATCACGTGTCAAAGCATGTAAATTATTAAAAATGATCTAGGAAATGGTTTTTTCTCCACCTTAAACAAACTCCAAATGGTACTTTAAAGGGGTAAAAGAAAAAACCAAGCAGATTATGAGAAAGTCGAGTGAGTCGACAAGGTGTTTATTAAGTTCAATTCGCTTGGTCATCGGAACACAATAATTCTTCTTCTTCACAAAAAAAAAAGGGGGGGGGGGTGTGGGGAACAAATTAGTTCTTGAGAAATACTCTAAGAAGTAGATCCTAAAATATCCTCCAGGAATTGCTAAAGTATAGAAGTAAGCACAGGCAGGCTTCAAAAGAATTTCATAAAGTACAAGGTATTATCACAAATACAACAAGACAGGGACTGTAAAAACCAAAATTAAACATAGTTGAAAACCCGTAACTTCCAGAGAACAATAATAAGAAATTACAAAAAGCATTTAATGGTAGGTGCCAAACTGAAAAACCCTATGCAAAGGAAGAGGAAGATATTTAGCTTCGGTAGACTACCTGCAGGAGGTTTAACAGATTGGATTGCTGGTCTTCAATCTGAGCAAGTTGTTCACGTATCAGAGACAGATCCTCGATGTCTTTGGGGTTCTCATCAACTTCTAAAGCTGCATTTTTGTCGTCAACATCTAAGTTCTCATCATAAAATGGAACCATTCGATACCCAGATCTCAAAACTCCAAATTTCTGCACTTTTTCATCACGGACCTTACCAATGAGTTCACGTTCTGCTTCCAGCCTAGAATTTTCACTGTCCCCAATTTCTCTTGATTCCAGGACTCCAAGGCCACTCTTCTTGATATTATCAAAGGCTTTATAAAACAAAGACTTTGGCTCAGCAATTTCAATCTTCCAATCATTGGTTTTTGTGCGGTCCAGCCTACCAAAAATCGATGTGTTCACATGCCTATTATCACTCTTCAGAGGAGTCTCTTTCTTGGCAGTGGACACGGTCGAAGCATCAGATGGAGGGGACCTGCCCGTGGGGACTACTTTCTTTGATTGGGGAGTTCTAAAACCAACATCATTGAAACTTTTTTTAACTGAAGGGAAGCATCCAACGCTACCATTATCTATTTCCACGAGCAATGCACACAATCATAAATGATAAAAGCAAATAGTTGCAGCAGTACTTACCAAGCATAAATGTTTACAGCAGCACAACAATAAAAACACTTAAAATTTCAAAATTTTAAACCGAAACTTTGTAACAAATTGAGCACTTTCCTTATAAAAAATTAAAAAAAAAAAATCTATAGAGTGTCAATCTGGGTTTCCAAATATCAGATAGTTACAAGTCAAATAATTGAATGTTCATTATACCTGTTGAAGATGAGTCGGAATGAGAAGGAGCTGAGGTTTCCTCACAAACTCCAGGAACTTCCTTCCATAAACCCAAACTACGATTCATAGTTTCTCGGACAATTTTTACCTGTACCAGCAAAATTTATCAAAATGATAAGAACTTTTCCTTCTTTTTTTTTTAATTTTATTTTCCTTGTTGGAGAAAAAAAAGTCATTATTATTAAATAATTACTGAGTAAAGATACGCACTGATGCACCTTATCAAACCTCTTATGTCCAAGAGCAGCCAGACACGCCGCTTTGTACTCCGTTGCCAGCTCTTTCTCCGCCATCGCCACTTTCCCTAACGCCTCCGCTGCCGCCTTTCTCGTTCCCCAATCTTCGCTGCTCAAAGACTCCACCGCACAGGGCACTAACCAATCCAAAACCCCTTTACTTCCGGCACCACCAACACTAGCGACACTTCCTATAACTCCAAACACCGCTGCTTTCGCCTTGAAACTTTCGTTCCTCACTAACTTCCCTAACTTTGGCAACAGCTTCCTAAGCTGCTCCGTCTCGGGATCCGGTGCCGCCTCGATCGCCGCGGCCAAACACATCGCGGCTCCGATCTGTGAGTTCACGTCTTGCTCCAGAACGAGCATTTCGATCAAAGGCTTCGACAAAACCGAAAACGGAGGTTTCGTGATGTGAGACGACATGGCGGTGGTTGCCTCGACACAAGCGGATCGGACGGCGGAGTCAGGATCGCGGAGGCGGCGTGCAAGGGTAGAAACCATCTTAGAAAGATGAGGAGACAGAGTGTTACCGTGCGAATGAGACAGCAAAGTCAAAAGGCTTACGCATTGTCTCCGAACAGGAGACTTGGACGAAGAGTCGGTGTTGTGGAGGCAGTTAAGGAACGGAGAGATGGAATCGACTGTTAGGTTTCGAGCGATGGACTCGAGCTCAGCAGAAGCAAGGGCGAGAGTGTCGCGGTCGGAGAGTTTGTTTAGGCAGGTAATAACTCGTTGTTTGAGATCCTGCGGTTGCGGTTGCGTTTGCGGTTGAGGACTCGGCGGTGATCGGTTCTTGAAAGACATTGTTTTTTATCGGTAAGTTATGACTTTTTCTATGTCTATTCAGATATATTTTAGGTTGAATTTGCGATGGATGTAGCGGAAGAGAATTGGCGGTGAAATTCGGAGGTCTTAGGAAATGGGGGTGTTAGTTATAGTAATGGAAGGTTGTAGCGCCCTTTTAAACGTTGAGAGGGAAGTAAGAGAGGCCACCCTTTCTTCTTTATCCAACTTTTTTTTTTTTCATGCATAAATTTTATATACTTTTTCTTATAAAAAAATTAAATGGCAAAAGCATCAATACAAAACCTTTGATTAATCATTTCATATAGAAACTATTTCATCATTATATCATTTATGAAAGTGAAATTATTGGACAACATTATTAATAGAAAAAAGAAGACACATTTGTTGTAAAAAATTAACAATAATTAAGAATTTAAAGACTAACTTAAATGATTGACCAGAGTTAGATTTTAAAAAGATAAGGTTGATCCTAGTGTTTGCTAAATCTTCCATTTCCAATCCATCTCGACATCCTTTGTTAAAAATAAAATCTACAATAACTGGATCCTAAATATGAAGTCAAGGTTGAAGGATCACCTGGGAATAAAGTAAAGAGTAGAGGAGTAGTTCGTATGCAACAACGCATACCATAGACATAGAGTTGGTATGAACAAAGTTGAGTGAGCTAGCTAGCTGCTGGCCGGAATATCCCAACTGGAATTATTTTGACTCAGTCCTCATATCCTAACACCTTACTATTATTTGATGCAATAATTTAAATGATTAATTATGTAAACAAAACCTTAATTAAGTTATCCAATTAAAACTACACCTAATAATTTTAAATACTATATAAAAAATATGAAATTTAAATAATATATAAATTTTTAAAAAAAATCTCATAGTTAATGTATTATTATAAAATATGGTATACTATATTTAATATAAAAATATAAATTATCGAATCTGATTTAAATCGGAGAATTTTATAGTTTTATAACAATGACCGGGATTGGGAGAGGGGTAGGCGCCTGGGGGTGTCCTCCACGGAGAAAAATTAAAGAACTGAGAAAGAAAAGAAAAAAGTAAGAGATTCAGTTACTGTAAAGAGGAAGTAAATGCAGGAGGGAGAGGGGAGCATGAGATGAGAGAGTGAAGCGTAGGGCGTCAGGCATGTGAGGGGAGATAAGAGGGAGAGAGCGTGGAGACAGAATTGTTGAAAGTGTTGACAGTCATTCACGTGACACTGAGGATTCTAAATCTATCTATTAGTGACAAAGCACACCTTCCAAAATTTGCCTTGCTTTGGATTAGACCCCAGTTCTTTTGGATTTTATTAACTTTATAATAATAATAATATAGAAATACGATTGTCCTATTAAATATAACAGTGGATAAATAATTTCATGAAATCTTAACAAAGAACCTACATTACTCTTTCATAATAATCTTATCATACATCAATAAACCTTTTTTTTTTTTCTTTTCTATACTTAAAAGAAGTTTCCAAATCAACAAAAACCCATCAGTCTAATTATCCTCAAAATGGTAAAAAAAAAGAAAAGGGATTGTGATGCATGGAATGATGATCATGATTGTGGTGAGTTTAACCTGCAGGGTGGAGAGGATGGGATTGGCAACCCACAAATTTTGGGGTTTGAGCTCGAAAACAAGGGAACAGAGCTTCCAATAATGTAATCCTTAGCCACCGGGGCTTAGAAAGATTAGAGATGCTGCCTCGCGAATTAAGTGGAATTGCAATAATGATAATATTTTTTATATTTAAAAGAAACAAATTTTGACAATTAAAATTAAAATTTTAATATTTTACCAATAAATCATACCTTCGTTGATGATAAATTTATGCATGAAAAAGAGGGAAAGTGAGCAGAGCAAACATAGAAAACCGGGTGAGGATAAGTAATTATTATAATTATTATTATTATTATTATTATTATTATAAATAATAGGCTTTAAATTTCCCCTAATTTAAAGATGGGGGGATTTCGGAAAATAAGTTAGATCCATGCATGTGAACCTTTGTTTGGTTTGATGATAAAACGGTTTGGCAGTTTTCGGCCTAGTGTTTGTTATCAGCATTACCCATTTGCCTTGGATCCCAAGTCCAAAGTTCCTGCCATTTCTTTCTAGGCTCTTTTAGAGTAAGAATTTTGAAATTTTTAAAAATTTGAAATTGAAGAATTTTTAAACGCATCAATTCAAAATATTAATATTTATAATTATTTTACTTAAATATTTAAAGAAATTTATTTTATTTAAAATTTGATGAGATAAGTGAGAGTTGGAAGTTTGAACCTGACCATCCAGTATCTTATTCTGTGGTAAAAAATATTTTGATGAAATAATAAATAATTATAAAAAATAATGATATTAAATATAAAAAACATATATGTATAAATAAAATATACAATATAGCTATCATTAAATTTGTAAAAATATTTAGATATTATTAATAATATAAAAAATAAAAAATATTAGAATTAAATAAAATAATTTTTTTACTTTTATATTTCATGGTAAGTAATGTGTAATAAAGAGGTGAAGGATTTTGAGAAATTTTGAAAAGCCAAGGTGTAATTTCAAGAGATAATTTTAAGTGCTTAAATTTTCTCTTGAAATTTCATTTAAATTTTGAAAATTTCTTTTATTTTTATCGAAATAAATACATACTTTACACATGACTTTTAAAAATCTTGATAAAATTAAATCTTTCCTCCAAATGCCCCATTTAAACATACCATTAGGTAAGTTTGATATCTTTTATAAGATCACTATAATAATGTAATTATCAAGATGATCTTATCACCAATATAATCTTATCATTCCTAATTTGAAATCACTTTATTCAATTAATAATCATTAATTTTTAAAAATTAAAATCACTGTAATTGATGTTACTCAAAATCTAACATTATTTTGTTTAAAAATATGAAAATAATCATATTATTTTAATAGTTATACAAATTAATAATTTTAATATTTTTTGAATATAATAATTTGTAAAATATTAGTAAAATTTTATTTATTTTATAATAAAATATAATTAAATTATTAAATTATTTATTAATAGATAAATTAATTTTTATAATATAAATTATGAAAAAATATTTGAATTAGAAAATAAATCTAATCTATTAAATTCATAATTAAAAAACAAAAAAATTAAATGATATATAAATTATTAAAAATAAAAAAATACAAATTATTTTTAAACTTGTTACAATGAATATTGGTTTGAAAATATAAAAAAATATAATATAAAAGAATTATAGTTTTAAGGGGAAACAAATTTGTAATTCATATATTAAATAGATAATATTAACTATTATTAATTTTAAATATTATTTTATCTCGGTAATAAAAAATTTTTTTATCTTTTTTTACAAAAATTAGATCACCTTCAAAAGCAATAATATGATCACTCTTAATTATTTAAGATTACCGTCATAAAAGATTATGAAGTACTTATTAAACATAATAATCTAATTATCATATATAAATTATTATAATTTTTGAAATGATCACCTCGTACCAAATAATAGATTAAAATTTCTCCTTTTTTAGTCCTATAACTAGTTTTCCTCCCTAATAAGTTTGTCAAGAGAAAATGGAGAATCACTGTTGAATTCACCACACATATATAATTAAGGATGCATATGAAAAAATGGTCTTTGCATAAAGATAATAACAAATTTTGATTATTGATGATATAACAATATTATTTTTTTATGAGTAAAATTTGTTGCTTATAAAAAAATAATGCTTTCAATTGAAGCCTATATGCAGTGTTCAACGAAAAAATATTCTTGACAAAAAATTTTATTTCTACTATTATTTATGGAATAAATAATGTTACGCACACATATTTCATATATATATATATATAAATTATATATACATGTATTTTCATTTAATTTTTATATATGTATATAAAATTTATATAATTATTATACGCATATAAAAATCAAATGTTTAAAAGAATATGAGCTCCTGTACATGAAAAAGAGGTGGAGTTTACTACTACTTATCCAAATGTCGGAATCACAAATATATATTATAAATAAATATTTAAAATATTTTTTAAATCCAAACAAAATTCATTGATAGTTCATCAGAATAAGCAAAGAAATGCACTCTTTTTTGGAATTTGGTTGAAATCAACTTCAAAATGGAAACAGAAACAACTATCGGCGTGTCATTCCAAGAAAGATTCTGATACTCCTATCTTAAAAGTAGATCAGTAGATGTCACTGGGTGTGATTTAATCCCCAGTAACAAGAGAAGGACGTGATTTAATACCCATTAACAAGAGAAGGATGTGATTTAATCCCCATTAACAGGAAAAGAAAAAAAAAAAAAAAGAAGGACAATATACTATAATATTTTTTGTTTAGTTGAGGAGAGGAAACTTGGTTAAATTTTAGCATAGTGAAAAAGTTGATAAGTGGTTTTCTGGCTAAAACTAAGATAAGCATGTAAAAGGAAAAAAAAAACTCATTTATAAAAAAAATGATTAAATGATCAACTAAATATTTAACATGTGAGTTATTTTAATTAAAAATTTTATCTTTAATTTAGTTTAATTTAAGATTAAAAGTTTTTGAACGTATTTCGATAAAGATTTTATTATGGTTGTGGTTATAATAACGTGAATCACTATTTTGCATACATTTAAATAGTAAAAACACTCTTTAAACTAAGTAAAAATTATCGTTCAAAAAAAAAATCAAATCTACTGTGACAAAGAGAATTTAAGGATTAGGGGATTTAGGGTTTTGAAAACAAAATTGATCTAGGAAAGATTAAAAAGACAAAACCAAATTTAGAAATATAATCAACTTAAAAAACCAAGATATTATCTTTTGTTTTTCCAAACCTAACCCATAATTTTCCTTTATTTTCCCACATTTTCTTTGCATTCAAAGCATAATTGTTAATTTCATTTTGATATTGATCGTACCGATCGGTATGTTTCAATTACATCAAAATACAGTATACTTAAAAATGATTTTTCGTACTGGATTTGATACCAAGTGATACCAGTTCTTTTTGTTGGTTTTGGCTGATTTCGATAAATTTCGATGGATTAACTTGTTTCGATTGGTACATGAATGTAAAACATGTTTTATAATTCATAATTTACCTTTTATTGTTTGACTATTTTTAACCTAATAAAAATAAAATTAATTGAT